ATTCATCAGTCAAAAATGGATAGCAGAATTTAAGCGTGGTAGAGAGAGTGTGAAAGATGAACCCCGCTCTGGAAGGCCTTCGACGTCAACTACTGACGAAAATTTTAAAAAAGTACTTGATTTAATAATGGGAGACCGCAGATTAAAAATTAGAGAGATAGCCGAGATTATAGGCATCTCTTATGAACGAACTCAAAACATCATTGTCAACGAGTTGGGTTTCCACAAGGTGTCTGCGAGGTGGGTTCCGCGACTGCTTTCAGTTGAACAAAAAAGGACGCGATTGACTATTTCACGCGACTGTTTGGAGTTATTTGAAGCCGATGCAGATGATTTTTTGAATCGTTTTGTTACTATGGACGAAACATGGGTTCATTACTGTACACCGGAAACAAAACAACAATCAAAACAGTGGAGAAGACCTGGTTCACCACCCCCTAAGGCTAAGTCGATTTTGTCGGCAAATAAGGTGATGGCTTCAGTATTCTGGGACTGGAAAGGTGTGATTATGATTGATTATCTTGAAAGGGGTCAGACTATAAACTCTGATTACTACTGCACCTTACTACGTCATTTACGAGAGGAAATAAAAGAAAAACGTCGAGGAATGCTCAGAAGAAAAGTCCTGTTTCATCAAGATAACGCCCGTGTTCACACGTCAGTACAGTCAATGGCTGAAATTCACAACTGTGGCTTTAAACTGTTACCACATCCGCCGTATTCACCTGATCTGGCACCATCAGACTTCTTTCTGTTCCCTAACCTAAAAAAGCACTTGGGAGGTCAAAGATTTTCGACAAACGACGAGGTCAAAGCAGCTGTAGACGCATATTTTGACTCTAAGGAAGAATCATTTTTTTTCAACGGTCTAAATGCTTGGAAGGGGAGGTGGCAAAAGTGTATTGAACTTGATGGTGATTATGTAGAAAAATAAAAATATTACTGATTTAGTATGTGTTTATTTTCTTGGTTAGGCCGAGTACTTTTCAATCCACCCTCGTACGCACGCTGCATAAATTTTTTTGGACGATATTATCGGTAGGTTAATTTCACAAAGGTCGCTTCCGAGGCATATAAAGTTTTATGAACATTAGCGAAGATCAGAGAGTGATGCTTCTGTTCTTATACTATTATTTATTCTTTGCTTAAAGTAGTACTTACCCCTAATATTGGTTTTTTCTAAGTACAAATTGCTGAATTAGCGTTGCTGGCGAGATATAACTATATAGACAATTTGTTTTTCTTCACCCGTAACTAATATCAAAAAATGATTTAGTTTTGAAATTAGTAAGATGTGAACATACCGTAACTCCCTTTACCTAGTAGTACCCTTTGGTATATGTCCATGTAGTGTATATCACAGTAATCATAATATAATTCGATATTTATAAACCGTTGTATAGAAGAAAATCAGGAAATTTTAATGTAGGTACTCCCAAAACCGACAGGTAGTCCAATGAAACAAGCATTTAAATAGAAATGTCTGACAAGCGAGTTTTTGATATATCCAAATCCAAAAACAAAGCGGTCGGTAGAAAACAAGCGAAATTTTTAAATAAAAAAAAAACAGGTTATTTATCATATTCTTGGATTGTCATCCGAATTTGAGCTATATTCAAAATTTCCAGTTCCCAGCTCATCGATATATAAAACAAACAAGAAAGTGACTTAATAAAAGCATGGTAAAATATAAACAAACCCAAATAAAATTTCACCTTCTAATGAGAAGGTTAGGTTAATCACTAAATGTAGTGATTAAGGGCCTATACTACCTCAAATGGCTTAGCAAGATCCTGCGTTATGCCGAAAAGTATTAGTGATCACAAACATGTCGATACACAATAGCATACAATACGCATATAGAAGTGGGGGCGAAATTAGAATTTGAGCTGATATAGTATAGGCCCTTAATTGTAATAAAATGGCTAATTCGATTTTACTGAAAATTTAATCTGGTATAGGTACACATACATAATCATATTACACTTCAGACGGAGAGACGCATATATGCAAGACGTTTTCTTTACCGCTGAGCGGGCAGTAAATCAGCATTTAAAGTTCAAATTAACAATTTAATTGGTGCTGGCGGGGGATCGACTCGAGTTCGATCCACGCCAGTACTCACGTGTAATAAAATTCAAGGTGAGCGTTCATTGCCTAAACTATTATATTATTAAATGTGTGTTGGTATTTAGTCATATAGGAGTATATATTGCAGTACATAAAAGTCTTAGTTAGGAAATGGAGATCAATAACTAGAGACTAAACTGCATTTTTAAACGACTACAAAAAATGGAGGAGGTACTCAATTCGTATGTTTGTATTTTTATGTATGTTCGTGCATAACTCCGTAATAAATAGACGGATTTGCAAAATTCTTTTTTTTTTTTGTTCGAAAGAGGCTTATGGTCCCATTTATGTTTCGGAGACACACAACGGATCTCTTCAATAAATGCCAGCAAATCAACCGCAATTGCTGCTGCCCTATATCTATGCATTGTTTACGCAATCACACGACATAACATCACGCATGTATCATGTTCTAAAGGGGTACGCAGATATGTTCATGTTCAGTATACCACAGTACTGGTTTCTGTCAAAGTTTTTATTGAAGTCTGCTTTTACTTTTGCAAAATTATAATCTTGTTTGGTTACAGTTGGCTTATTTAGCTTTCAATTAAATTGCTAAAGGCTGTGTAAAGGTTTAATGCACTTATCTAAGTTACTTTCGTTGGAACTTGTTAAATCTGACCTTAATTACGTGACTTGCATTAATGTACCGTTATAATTTGGAAGAGCTACAATCAATAAACTAGCAGGTCTTTTTGTAAAACACGGAAAAATAACTTAAAACGGAACGAACGGCCGCGGCATTTCGGAACCTGTCTTATTGCCTGGAATTGGAACCTGGAAATTCGATCGTGTGCATTATTAATTCATTTTTATTCAATACTGCCTATGCCTATCGGAAGTCCACTGCTGAACATAGGCCTTTCCGATAAATTGCGTCATTAGGGAGATTGGTCCAGTGGTTGTAAATGAGACTGCTGATCATGAGGTCCTGGGTTCGAACCCCGGGCTGGGCCAAAAAATCAATTATTGAGTTTTATTGAAATTCACAGTAGCTACCTGGAGTCAGGAAATTGGCGGTGTCTAAACTCCGTGCCTCGGAAAGCACGTAAAGCCGTTGTTCCTGCGCCTCATCTCTCTCCGGTTGTGTGGGTTTACCGCCCATCAGACTGTGAGAGTGAGAGAATAGAGAGTGCACCTGTGCTTGCGCATACACTTAGGCACTGTAATCCTGTCCTGCGCCGATGGCTAGTCTCCGTTGAAAGTGGCAACTGTGACCGAAATTCGGTCTGGAGGACATTACTATTATTACTATTTGCCGCAGTTGCTACGCATGGCAGGCCGGTAGGCAACCTTTTTGGTTGTAATCAAGAAGATGCTGCTGCCCATGTCCTGTTTCATATCCGTCTGTCGCCTCTTAAGACACCCATGGGATGTTACGGGGAAGTTGATATTCTGGCCTGGTGGACTAGATAATTAAAATAAACACAACTATATTGCCCTCGGTTATTTTTCCGATTTATGTTGCAATAGTTACAAACACTTTTCCCATCGCAATCGTGAGAATTTGACTCATAACAGTGTACAAAAAGCACAAGCACGCAAAAATATTGTCTTTGTAGATCAACTTTATATCAGTAAAATTGCCTAAAATTCTAAAGCACCAAAATCACTTATTGATTTGAGTTTAAATTATATGGATTTCACTTTTTCAATTCTAATAAACATGTTGAAAAAAAAAAAAAAAATTGTCACAAGCACAGGCAGCACAAAGTCGAATGAATTGCCAGCAAATGGGTGTGATATTTATACGTTTTTTAGTGACTTTCTAGAAACTTCTCTACCTCCCCCCCCCTCCGGCCATTATTCCTTATTTTACGAAAATTGTGTCATTATTATTTACATATATTTTCCTAAGGTTACACTTTGCTACTTACATTAATACATACGTGCGAATTCGGCGCCGCTCGGTATAGAAGTAAAACCGCGATTTTTTATTCTGAAAGTGTATGCTGTTGGCCCTCCGGCCTTTACAGCTTCATCGAAATAGACCCATGAGTAAGGACCCACGAGCTATTGAGTGCAACGATTCCGCCGACTGCAGTCCCGAGGCACCCCAGCCCTACTTTCGGACTGATGCTCCTCTAGCTAGGGTGAGGCTCGATGTGATTTAAGGGTCCCTCTGAAGGCGGATCTTCTCTTTGGCGTAGTTGTCATCTTGCGCCTTTTTTATCGTTTTTTATACTTTGTGCTCGCATAAGATTACTTGCGTCTAAGCAGAGAAGCCTTTTTCTTTGCATTTTCTTAGGGACCACATCTTTGCTGTTGATAGTCTTCTTATTTTCGCTGTTTTTCCTGTGGTATGCCTTTTGACTCGACACATATCTATAAATTGTAGCACACGTCCCGTAGCAGGCACAAGCACTAGTTACTTAGCAATGTTGTTTATATCGGGTAGGTATTCGTGGTGAGTCTTCTGTTCGTGAGTCACGTGACATCTCTCCTCACCAGTTTTCTCACGCGCTGTCTTCACTTCTGTGGGCCACTCCTCTTCTGACTTTCTTAAGAAATCAGGTCCATGGAATCATCGGTGCTATGCGTTGAAGTTAAGTGGAGTCTCTCTAGTTGCGTCGTCGGCTACGTTGTCCTTGGCCCTGCGCCAATCGTCTACTTTGGCCAGCTCTCCTATTTCTGCTGAGCAATGTGTGACAAACGTCTTAAAGGCACGTCTTTCTGATCGTACGCATGCTAGAGCTATGTTGGAGTCACTCCAATATATCTTCTTGGCGAATTCAAACTCGTGCTCTTCTTTTGTTGTTATTGCGAGACGTACACCTAGAAGAGCTTGTAGCTCAATTCGGGGTATCGATGTGGGTTTCAGGAGGAATGTGAAGTTCTCTTATAGCGCGTAGATTCGTTAACCACGTGACTCAGCGAGGTTGGAGCTCTTCTGGAGTAGGTTCATCCAAACCAGTTCTATATAGCCATGTTTCCTGCATCAGCCTCTTTACAGGTGTTGTTAGTGGTGAGACCAGACCAAGCGAATCAAATAGTGACATAATCACGCTCTTCATGGGCGGCCGTTCATTTCGTGACACTTTCGGTGGTGTCTTCTTTTCATTTAGGTGGGAACCGATGCAGTCTTCGTTTATTTCCCCTAGTAATCCTAGAGTCTTCTCGATGTCGTTTCCTCCTGTGCGTTCTGTAATGGTCTCCGTATCCATGTCGAAGTGACGTAACACAGATTGTGGGTTTGAAACCCACGCAGAATAAAGCCGGCTTAACGATTAATGTAGTCCATATTTTTCGATACTTCTGTTGCTTCTTCTTCATTCGGAAAGCTTGTGATTTAGTCATCTATATAATGATTCTTCCTTATTTATTTGAGAGAAGTTGCTTCTCTTCTTCTCGTCTTACTATGGGAGAAGTTTCGTGGAAATCTTCTGCGTTTCTCTTCTTGATGTATAATGCTGTACATGGCGAAGTACGAGAATACTTTGGGTCTTGTTTCTCCTCTATTATTTCCTCTCCACAGAAATCTCAACGTGTCTTTATCTTCTGTCCTTTTCTTGATTTGCACAAACGTCTCCTAAATGTCGGCCGAGATCGCAAAAGGATACTACCGGAACCTCATGACCCCAGGTAATGACTGCAGAAGGTCATGGCCAGGCAACAACATGTGGTTTAGGCTGCATCCAGTGTGATTGCGCTGCTGCATCGTGAACTAGGCGTATCTTCGACTTCGAAAGGTTGCATACAGTTAAGTGTGGCAGATACCATGATCTTCCTGGTGTTGCAGGCGTGGCGGCCTCATCGCGTACCCATATGTGAGAAGATTGTTGATTCTTTCTTCGTACTTCATTATCAGTTTAGGTTCACGGTCGAGCTTCCTCTTCAGTGGCCTCAGCCTTTTGTATGGATCTTCGTAGTTATTCGGGATCTCAAAAACCTTCTTTCCACAGAAGGGCAGTCTCGAAACGGCCATCAGTCATTCTTCGACTCTTTTGTTGCAGTTTCCAATTTTCATTTTCATCTTCATAGCACGCTCTTCTAGATCGCGTTCTTCTGTTTCATCGGCTTCACACCAAGGGCCTCCGAGTCGAAGAACTTCTTCATCGTATCTTTCATTGAATCGTGCTCCGCCGCGATGATGGTGTGCCCACAGAAAGGAACTGGTTTCTGGTACGACGAGCGATATCCATATAATACCCAACCTAGTCGCGTATAACATACGATAGGTTGAATCCCTCCCATCCATTAGTCATCGTATTGTAATTGCAACCAAGAGCTGCCAATTGTCTTGTCCTATTGATGTCCTAGGGCAGGCATGCTTGTAAACTAACTAGTCTGCCATCTCTCGTAGGTAAAGGCAACACTGAAGATCTCTTTTTCCTATGTTCTGTTTGGTGAACATCAGGCGTTGTACGGTACGCTCATTACATATAGTGTATTCTTCATTGTTATATTTCCCTCGTATCTTGATGACGACCATCATGGTGTTTTCGTGCTTTACCGTTTCATTCAGATCTTGTACCCACATATGGTCACGTGAGTCGTCTAAGTCCAATAATTCTGTCTGATGAGCGTGATGTGCATCCATCGTTCATCAAGGCGTAGGTGTTGACTCTTGTACCAATGAGACTAATGAGCATGACAGGCGCAATCCCTTAAAAATGTTTGTCCATTCTTGATGCAATTGGCGTTCTTGACAATTTCAACAGATGATGTCACTTTCTGCAAGTGTCCCCATCTTTAGATACTTAGGGGTGGGACGCAGAAGGTGCTTCCTCATCTTCGATGGAGCGCTGTCTGTCTGAGTTTACACGTGGTCGCACTCATAGAATACTATAATACATATCGCAATAATCTCACCGATGATCTGCGTGAGGGACGGCCTTCTACGGCGACGACTGAAGATAACATCAGTCTTGTGCGGCGTATGATAGAGACTGACAAAAGAGTGACTTATCAGCAGATTAGGACAAGCTTAGGCATCGTTATGAGTCAAGTGCACAAAATCCTCTACGAACATTTAGCGCTCAGGAAGCTTTGTGCCCGGTGGATACCTCATAATTTGACAGAGGCTCATAAACCCCGTCGTGTTGACTGGTGTCGTGAAATGTTTCAAAGATTTAACGGAAGTGACTCAAATGTTGTGTTCGACATACTTACAGGTGACGAAAACTGGATCTATTGTTATGATCCTAAAATTAAAAGACAGTCTGCTGTCTGGGTGTTTCCTTCCGAGGAGTTGCCAACTAAAGTGAAGAGAGGTCGAAGCGTGGGAAAAAATACGTTGGCTTCGTTCTTCGGAAGGACAGATCATAACGCAACAATTGTATTAGAGGATCGGAAAACAGTTACTGCAAAGTGTTACACTTACAATTGTTTATCACTTGTCTAGGAAAAAGTTCGGGAGAAGCGACCTCGCAGTAGGATCCTCCTATCACTGCGACAACGCCTCGTCGCACACCGCCGAGCAAACAATTGACTACTTGGCGACGTCAGACGTGGAATTACTGGGTCACCCGCCCTATAGCCCCGACCGAAGGTGCGAGACCTTGCGATTTTTATTTATTTCCAAAAATAAAATAAAAACTTCAAGGAAAACGTTTTATGGACGCCGAGGAAGCAATGGCTGCGTTTCCCAAAAAGAATGGACAGTATTTTGAAAAGATATAATAAAACTAATAACTTGCTAGTTTGTTCAGTTTTTATTTTCTAAGAACTTTCAGTGTCACTCTCGCACGCTCTAAACTCTGATTTTTCATTCCGTAAAATACTGAAATTTAATAAGTGTTGCTACTAAAAAATTCTCCACTGAAAAGGGACCTATTTGGCCTATTTGAGGGCAATAAAAATAATATGCTACGTATTTTTTATGTTTTACCTTTTTGTTGCAAATTAAAGTACTTAGTAAACACTAATTAATTAAAATATTTACGCTAATAATCATAATGTTAAATTACCAAGAAATATGATGACATATAGAAAAGGAATAGTCATATGGTTCACCCCCCACTAGTTGCATCGCACTGCCCTTCGATGCTGTCGTGCACAAAATAGATACACAAACTTAGATCAATGTTGTTTTGACCACTAAGTAAAATTCCTTACCATTAGTGAAGCATGTTTAACTGAAGTTATTATTCAACTAGCGTCTACTAAATTTCTACTCTGACATCCATTATTACCGTAGCATTTCCTTTATACGCGCGGAGAATCGTGAGCTTTGGTCGTAATTTCAATCCTAATTTCAATCCTAATTTCATTAGAGAAGATGAATGGGTGCTGCCATCTGCTTGGGATCCTATAATTAACAAAATTAAACCCAAACCCAAGCATACCACTGCAATACTTCAAGATACTGCAAGCTCGTTCTGCGTAGATCGAACTAAAATTAATATTAAAAAACTGAAGGGCAAACTATGGCATTGGGATGTCAGACATCTTCCCCCCTTGTGACCATGGGTGCTGTAAAGCACCCGGAACGTCGAGAATTAAAAATAAGTTGATTCAATCTCTTCAAACTAGTTAAGACAAGGGTTAACATTGACGTCGGGACGTCAGTTACCTCGTTCCCCATGATCATGGGTGTTGGAAAGCACCCGAAACGTCGGGAATTAAAAATCAATTCCAATTAAACGCGATAAAATCCGCAAAAGTAGTTTAATCAATAGTTAAAACAAATCATTTTTTTTCCTAGGTATACAGATCTTAGCTAATTAATTTTTAACATCGTTAACCTATCTCTTTGAGTAAAACTTAGTTCTGGTTCTGGTATGGAATATCACAAAGATCTCACATAAGAATTACACGAAACTGAATTGAATATGCTTCCTGATATTGTTATTGGTTTCATGATATTTGCCGTTACTCATATAACGCGGACGCGAGGAGTGTATATTAAGTACTCGAGTACTAAGGCCTATGTGCGTAAAAAGCTTATGTGAAGAGGAGGCCTCTTCCCAAAGTTTCAAACTCCTTACTGCTTAATGATTTCCAAAGTTCCTATCTTGCCCGCTCTTTCCAAAGTTTTACAGGCTTGGGTAAATAAACAAATCTTAACTCTTATATGTACATATATTCTATCAATCTGATTTTCGCTTAGGTCATAGTACCACCACTACTTTACAAAAAGTAACAGATGGTATTAAAAACGTACAACGACAGAGTAGCAGTGATGGTGTTAACAAACTTTTCCACAGTTTACCATGATATATTCCTATGTATTCTGTCCTATTTTAAATTAGTACACATAAGGAAGTAGACCGCTCAGTGGTTAAATTGATTCTGGTGTTGATGGAAGTTGGAATTATATCACTTATATTATTTTCAGTTTTCGTAAGCTATATAATATCTACCATTGCTTGTTTTAAACTATTTTCTTGCACAATTATTAATTCCAAAATTTAAACTCTAAGCTCCAAATATTAATCGCAGTACTACGTTATTGCTAAAAATTATTTTACGACTTCTTTATTAGAAACAAATATAAGTGACAAACGAGCTCACAGTTCACCTGATGGTAACTGAATGTTGTGGCCTATAAACATCTACATTTATACTCAAATAATTAAAAAATGCCATGACTAAGATGGAATGCCTCGTATCCAGTAAAAAGAGTTTACGAATCTCTACACTCACCATACGAAACACAGAATTATAAAGCAGCTATTTTATGCCGCTATTCTGTGAGAGCGTGGTTCTTCCCCAGTCAAATCGACACATTCATGCTACAGCCATAATAGCAATCGAATAATGTAACCGAAAATGTTGATGCTACTTTCAATTATTTTATATTTCAAGCAAATTGTTGGTAGTTGAAGAATGTAAAAATTGAGCTAATAATAATAATTATTATTTTATTTTATTCAATAATTATTAGCTCTAGTATATACGTATCGTGATAAATATTATTAGGATACTTATAATGTGTATATAGTGGTACGTATATGTATAAGTTTATACGTGAAACGGTCATGTACTTACGTTTTGTTATTTTTCTATAAATTTAAAAGTAGGAACCTTCTTATATAACTAAAACTGCCCAACCTGCCTTTATTAGACATCCAAGAAACAAATTTATCGTACGTAATAGATACATCTATTTTTGTTATTTTTTTCACTAATTTAAGGCACCTGATAGCTTGCTACTACTTTTTACCACCGCTTGGATCTTACACTTTGTTACATTTGCAGTGCAATTTTTTTTATAAATTTA